ACGCAGCACAAGACAGTGCAGCATTTTCCGCCGCTGCCGCCGTCGCCAAAGGAGCAACTGCAGCATCCACTGCAACCACAACAACAACAACACCACCTCCTTCTCCACCAGCAGCAGCACCAGCAACAGCATCCACAGCAATTCGAGATACTATCACCGGGCTTGGTGGCATCCCAGTCGCAGCGCCAGCGAGCCAAACAATCAAAAATCAATTTAACGCCATTTACAGCGCAGAACACATTGCCGGGACAGTTTATACCCATTATTTATACGCCAGTGAGCAGCGAACCGGGCTCCTCCAATACAATCAATTACAACAACATCCAAAGCAACCTGAAGCAGCCAGAAATTTTCTACAAAAATTCCCATCAAACACAAATCGTTACGGATTATGTACACGGAGTTGTTGCCTCAGCCGAACAGCCTTCATCATCGTCATCCGGCGAGGAGTTGAAAAATGAGGAAAGGGGAGAGGAAGTGGAGCAGCAGCATCAGCAGGAGGATCATGGATCTGAAGAGGAGAAGGTGGAGGAGCAGCAGCACCAGCAAGTGCAAAACAATCCAAGGTAAGATTTCTTGTTACATGTGAGTCTTGTACCCAAAAGAAAACCTCTGGTGCGAAAGCTTAAATGTAAGTCAAGCTCTGATCTAATGGAATGAAACCATCACCTGCTTGATAGGCAGTTCTCACAACCACGCCCACTTATATATCGTGAGGTGCTCCGCTTGAAGTTGCAATATTGCATGCCGAATACAAATTAAAAAAGTTGCCACTGCTGCTACCTCTAAACTAGATTCATTTCATCTGTATTTTGGCAACAAGTTCACATGAGCCACTGAAACAATTATCTCACCAATTTTATTTAGTAACTCATTTCAAAAGATTGTAAAGCATGACCATTCCAGAAAATCGTTTATCCAATTAATGAGAAGCCAAAAATAATCGTTGTTGGTCTGGCAACCACGAAAATATTTATATATAAATTCAATTCAATTCAGAAGTCGAGCGTTTAAGTAGGAAAAGTGTAGCACAGTTCAGTGAAACAGAATCTTTAAAATATTTCCATTTGAACCACATGCAACTGAATCAGGGATTCCGTAAGAGACGGATGCTGTTGCATCCAAATGCCCTTGGGCAGAAAAATCAATTGCTTAAATGCACCGGACCCAATCCACAACAATCTCTGGCTCCGTCCGCTCTTCTCCAACTCTGAATCCGGCTCATGCACTTCGTCACCGTCTTGCAACTGCAGTGGTGGTGACGTAAGATCAATGACGACAACGATTGCGACTCCAATTGCCGTTCGATGTACAGCAGGAGGCACTGCCAGTGGGCAAAAGTGGGCTGAGACTCGACCTGGCCAGTGTCTCATGTATCTCTCCACATGCTCTTGTAGTAATTGCCAAATTGCAAATTCATGTCATAAATAGCCAGCGGGCTCAGGTCAAAAATCTGTCATACAATCGTTATCTGGAGATGGGATGGGAAATGGAAAAACACGCCAATCAGCGGTGATTTTTACAACCACCTTGCTTTTATCAAACATGTGGAAGCTTTCAGGTGTTTTTTAAAGTTTAAATTATTTAAATATTTATTTTCAAATGTAGAAAAAGGAGTATATCACACTCTCAGCTGTTTATAAAAGTTAAAAAAATAGTACGTTAGCCAAAGTGTTACAGAAAATATGGATATCGCTCGTAATTTACAATTTAAATGATTATTACAAGCTTTTACACTTTCTTGGCAAAGAGGCAGAAAGGTACGAAAAATCTCAGACCTACATAAGTTTCTATAATAGAAAAGCAAATTGAAATCAAAGCTTAACACCCCATGACATTTTCGCTTAGAACCGAAACCATAACCGCTTTGCATGACAACCCACCCACAGCATTGGCTACGCTTCCGTCTCGATTCCCGATTCGAGCGCAGTCACCGCCACCACATCCTCCAAAAACGCATTGATAATACATCAAAAGTCACCGACATTCGGGCATGTAAGTAAATACGAAAGCTACTTCAACATGGGTCCGTCCACGACAAGTATTGGCCATCATCCTAATCAGCAGCATCCGCACATGACGCCCCAGGAGAAATATGTGCTTTACTTACAACAGCGCATGAAGCATCAAAAACACCAGCATCTGCAGCAGCAGCAGAATTACGACTTTTCACATCCGGTGGTGCCAGCACAAAGCAATACACTGGCCGGTAGCCACCACCAACAACACACCCATCTGCATCCCCATCAGCCGACCCGCCAGCAATCACACCACAACCATCACCCCCAGACTCAGACCCATCACCCGAACAAGTACGATGCCCTGTACGTAAGGCCGGATGCGACTGCTGGCCAGCAGGTGCTGCACATCCCGCTGCGCGCCCTCATGGCCCATGTCCAAGAGCAGTCGCACTCCCAGACCCAGTTGCAATCGGAGTCGCAGGCACAGCCGCCGCGGCACGAGATCGCCAAGGATGAGCCACTTGGGTAAGTCGTCCATTTGGAGCGAGGAGCAAGGATAATATAGTATAAAGGTTACTTTATGATGGGAACTTTGAGGGTGTTATATACAAATGAGTAATCTTCCAATTAGCAAATTTCGATATATTCAAATTTAATGTATTTTCTTTTGAGTGCTTGGAGTAAAGGAAATTTTGGCAAAGCACACAAGGATGGGATTTATACAAGAAGCTGACCCAGAATGAGGGTTAGAAGCAAATTTGTTTGTTTTTAGTACTAAGTTTCTAATTATAAATATTTGCTATTAATAAGAAGAATTTGAATGGGGGCTTAGTATTGTTCCCAAATTCATAAATCAAGATTCATACCACTACAAGCAAATACATTTTTACCCAATGCTACCTTTCGCTTGGCAATCATAAAGTGCCTCAAAAGAGCTCCCTAAAACGTTGATAATTTTTTTAGTTCCCCAGCACCTCCGCAGTTTATTGATTATCTGATAGATGGGCCGAGACAATCGCTGGAAGAGGACCAGCAGCAGCATTCGCAGCATGAGCGTCCTTCGGCGCATCCACCGCCGCAGCATGCTTACATCCTGGTGACCACAACAGCCCCACATGTTGAGCACCAGCCTGCGCCACAACTGCATCCTGAGATTTCCACACCCCGCCCACCGATTCTCTACAATCATCAGCCCACTCTTCGATTGCAGCCAGTGCATAGTTACAAAGCCACCAGGCGTCCCATCTACGTGACCACGCCGGCGCCAGCGGGTCCGTCCCCTCCAAGTCACACGGTGGAGATTACGCCAAAATATGTTTACGTTTCTGGAAAACCCCCCAGTGCCCAGAACCCTGAGTTACCAATTAGAGAGCCATCGACGGTAACACCCATTAAACTAAAACCAGTTTTCAAATACGCCCATGAGCGCCCTCCATTAACGCCAGCATATATCCCAAAGGATGAGGATCAGCTACCTGATATTCGCACCTCATCGCTGGCCGAAATTCTTCATAAGCTTCAGGCCAGCAATCATCTACCACAAACTTTAACTCCCGACAACATCGACAACTCCATTAAAACACTGATTCGCATACTGCAAAACCTAAAGCAAACCCAAACCATTGTGGCAAATCCTCCGCAGCATCACGAAGAGCACAAACCCAGTTCCCAGGACTATGATTATAACGAAGAGGAGCACCACTCCACGTCCACTGGATCAGAGGAGGCTAATGAGGCGGTTGCTAAAACAAAAGGACCGAGTGGGTTGCTATTTGATAAATATGTTATTTTACCTAATTTTATAACATTATATAGATAAACATCCTGGACCAAGTACAGGAAGAGCCGGCATTGATTATCCCAACTACGAGAAGATCCCTCAAACCAGTTTCGAGTGCACCAAGCAACGATATAAGGGATTCTTTGGGGACCCGGAAACCAATTGCCAAGTTTGGCATTACTGTGATCTCAATGGAGGAAAGGCATCTTTTCTTTGTCCCAACGGAACCATATTCAGTCAGGTAAGAGACGATTTTAATTTCTTTGAACAGCCGGGAACAACTATAAAATATATGAATCGATTTTTTTTAGATTGCCCTGACCTGCGACTGGTGGTTCAATGTAAAATGTTCTACGACTGCGCAACTTTATGTGTTAAACGAGCGACTTTACAAGTACATACTGCCTTTTAACCCCAAGTTTCCCGAGGACTACAATGGACCCATTGTGGATAAGTAAGATAATAATAGAACTCAATAAGTAATTATTTAATAATCTATTATCTACTTCAGGTACCTGGCCATGAAGTTCCAAGAAATGGAGGAAAAGATGCGTCAGGAAAAACAGCGCAAGGCTACGCAACAAGCGGAAAAACCTGTTGATCCTCCATCCACTCCATCACTGCCCAAAAATCATAAGCCCGAGCCCAAACATGGTAGTGGAATTAATGCCCAGGTTTATGAGCAAAGCTCAGAGCGAAATTTGCTGATCGATGATGAAATAGATGACATATCAGAACGTGGAACCTACGACACTTATGAACAATCAGCACCCACAACTATAATGGCACCCACAAGCACCCAGGACACACAATCCTATGTCCTCAAACCCATCGTAGTGTCCTCCACTCCACAACCACATCAAGAGATTGATTTCGAAGTGGAACCAACTGCTCCTGAAAGCAGTGAAGAGGAGGATAAACTGCAAAGTTTGAGGGAAACAAAGGAGGCTGAGAAAACCGGGCGGGAAACCACAAAAGTAAGCGTGGAAAAACTGGAGGTAATTGAGATTAAAACCGATGGAAATACTGGACAACTGATGCCCATCAAGAATACTAGCAAATGAGCATTCTTTGGAAAGGATGAAGAGCTTGCCATATTTGTAATGAGAAATTCGTCTGCGAGTTGGTTGTATAATCCCCTAAATTATTCTTAGCGAGCAAGTACTGTAAATAGCTAGCTGTAAATGCAACTGTATACATACCTATAGCTATAGTAAAATAAAATCTGACTAGTAAGTAAAAAGTACCGTAGCACTTACCTCCTTTCCATTTTGGATGTTGAGAAGAGCTGAGTTTAATGCATTTAAGGAGGCCGGAATTTCGGAGGCATAGCGTTGATTCTGAGGGGAAAAGACATATTAATTAGAATTTATTTGAGTTATAATACCCAATACTCAACATGTTTTGCACTATTTTTGTTTTTTGCTCTGATTCAACTCTAAGCAATAAAAGCTTAAATAAAATAAGAGTGGACAAATAAACTTTTTGTTAATGTCGAAGACTATGAATTAAAATTGTATCAATTTCAATTGAAGCAGTCAAAATTAATTAATAAGCCATATCTAAGAACAATGAAAACAAGAAAGGAAAGCTAACTTCGGACGGAGCCGAAGTTGATATACCCTTGCAGAATATTCTGTAAATTATATTCTTCAAAATTATTCATATGGTGTATTCTTATACCTAAAAGTCCTAACTTACTAACTTTAAAACACCAAAGTTATGGCATTTCCAATCGTTCAGTTATATTGGCTATGGTATAGTCGCCGATCCTTATGAAATTCGGTGGTCGGATTATTGGCCAAATAAAACTCTAGATCCACTTCCTACTTTAAAACACTAGTTTGGATTTCGATCGTTGTTATATGGCAGCTTATGATATAGTGGCCCATCCGCTCGTTCCGACTTTATTCTACCGCATAGAAGACCTTTTGGGAAAGTTTCGCAGATAGCTTTAAACTGAGGGACTAGTTTGCGTAGAAACGGACGGACGGACCGGACACGGACGACGACGGAGCGGACATGGTGCTCTCCTGGTGATGCTGATCAGAATTATTACTTTTAGGGTCGGAAATGTCTCCTTCACTGCGTTGCAAACTTTTGACTGAAATTATAATACCCTCTGCAAGGGTATAATAAAGTAAAAAGAATTTCTTTTGAAAACAAGAAAGGAAAGCTAACTTCGGACGGAGCCGAAGTTAATATACCCTTGCAGAATATTCTGTAAATTATATTCTTAAAAATTATTCATATGATGTATTCTTAATACTCATAAAAAGTCCCAACTTCCTAACTTTAAAAACACCAAAGTTATGGCATTTCCAATCGTTCAGTTATATGGCAGCTATATGATATAGTCGCCCGATCCGGCTCGTTCCGACTTATATACTACCTGCAATAGAAATACAACTTTTGGGAAAGTTTCAAGCATATAGCTTTAAAACTGAGGGACTAGTTTGCGTAGAAACGGACGGACGGACGGACAGACGGACAGACATGGCTAGATCGACTCTCCTGGTGATGCTGATCAAGAATATATATACTTTATAGGGTCGGAAATGTCTCCTTCACTGCGTTGCAAAGTTTTGACTGAAATTATAATACCCTCTGCAAGGGTATAAAAACTATGTGGTCTTAAAGCTTACTAATGCCAACATCGACAAAAAAAATTGAATTGTTTAAGAATTAATTGTTTCTGAGTTGCACAAATATTTTTAGCATGGTAACATATATTGTGTTTTTTTAAGGATTTTACTAACAATATCGGCCATTGGGCGAGTGCGGTGGCTGAGATGATGAAGGGAGGAGCAGACCGCGCAGTTGTTGCGATTGCACTGCTGGCAGTGCACGTTCTTCGGCAATCGATGTTTTAAGCAACTGCTGAAAGGCAGTGTGAAGAAGTGGTTGTCCACGCGTAATCCCCTGCTGGTTTGGGACTGCGTTTCGATGGTGGTTTTCTGGAACACGTGCGACTTCAAGACGCGACTGTGATTGTGCACCGCATCGAAGCAGCGGCGACAATAGAAGGCTTTGCACTGCCTGCATTCCCCGGTGGCAACTGCATTTCCACACTCGCTGCATTTGGTGGACTGGACAAGCAATTCGCTGGTTGAGTTGAGAGACAGGGATTTATTCGACGTTTCCGTAGCAAAACGCCGAAAATAACTGAGGCTGCTGGTTTCCCCCAGCACATGATAATTAAGTTCGTAGAAGTCGCGCACGTTGCCGGAAAATTTACTAGCCGGATCCTTGGCCTTGATCGTTGGAGGAGCAGGATTTTGGCAAACAGCACACTTAAGATCCTGGCGATAGGTCCACACGCAGCTCTCGCAGAGATTATGTCCACAAGGTAGCAGAAAGGGGCGATAGCTCTCTGATGAATTAGGAAATAATTAGTCAATGCTGATGATTAATAAAATAATTAATAATCAACTTTTATATGAATAAAATAATGTAAGTCTTAACACAAACAACCTAAAATAAAAAAGAATATTTTTAAATATACTAAATATAAAATATCGTAAAGCAAAAACATTCAAAAATAGTATCGCATTTATTCGAATAGAATTAAAAGCATTTGGGGAATATTAAGTTTCTTTTTCCTACTTTTTTTGTGCAAATGCATATACATACTATGTAAGTATGATTCACATGTGTGCGTCCATTTGATTTTTTTATGTTTAGAAGAACATATCAAAGAGGACTGAAAAACTTATGGAGAAATAGTAATGTGAGATCTCACATAACGGAACAGAGATGCAATCTGCGAATTTTTTCTCTTAGACGTAGAATCGGTAAATTTGTTTTAAAATGCTTAATATTTTTGAAATTGTTTATTGACAGTTAGTTAAAATGCTTATTGCAAGTTGTAAATATTAATTAAAAAAATTTTAACGAATAAAAGTTGTCAAAAAGCTGGACCTTTTGGGTAAGCCCTATATTTTTTTCTTAGCTTTTAAGTTGGCAACACTGTTCACTATGCGAGACACCTGACACACACAGACACACACATGCTATGCAAAAACTCCTGGCAAATAATTCTCAAAGGGTTATGAATTAAAATGGCATCAGTCACTGATTTACAATTAAAACAGAACACTTACCTCCTCTTTGATAAGTATTGTACGAGTATGTGTAACATTTCGTACATTTTGGGCAGCGCAGAAGATTCTGCAAGTTTGAGGCCACAAATTTGCGATCAAAATGCTTAACACCGCTGTCGTCGGCAATCATTTTGTTAGAAAGCCAACACAAACCGCCGTTTAACACTTTTTTTATTGCGTTTAATATTAAACTTAAGAATATTTAGTAGAAATTAAACCTTTCAACTATGAAACTTATGACCCAAGCGCGCCTGCGAATTGGAAGAGAAGGAGATAGAGATGAGAAACCATTCATGTTACTATCGATAAATTGGATAAAACAACTATCGATACTCAAAGACACATCCTGTGGGAACAGATAGGAACTTTAAAAGAACTTTAACACATTGTTTTTGTATTTCTTAACTAATTTTTTTTAGCTCCGTTTTAAAAAGTTAGCTTGCAAGGGAATGGATTAAACATCTACGACATTTTTTTTTTAATTGAATCCCAATATGGTTTTTAAAAACTGCTAAGTAAACAATTAAATGTTCACGTTCTTGGTTTCAACCAATAAATAGTTAACCCTCTTGTCCAATAAAATTAAATTTTTCCCAAAAACGACTTTATTCCATCACATACTACAAATTTGACCCAAAACCGTTTTACAAAAATGGTTTTTAAAAATGCTTCAATTAAATCGCCGAATTATCCGAACATGGAATTCAGAATGGTGTTCTCCCGCTCCCTTCGGTTAGCCTCATCCTGTTTAAATCTTCGTAGCTCCTCGTAAACCGGGTCATCCGTTTCCAATTCAAAACGACACAAGGGGCACGAATTGGCCTGCGAATTCAAAAATGTATAATTTGAGATAAATATAAATTTAAAATACACATAGGCTTAATCAATACTTGATACAATATTAAGAACATTTTGTTTTTCAAAATTTGTATATTAAAGGTGTTTTTTAATTTGATTTGTTAAACTACTGAGTGTCATACCTTCTTCAGCCAAAGCAGGATGCACTCCTCATGGAATTCGTGCTTGCAGGGCAAAATCTTGTATTTTTCTCCAGCTTGAGCAGGCTCCTTGCAGACGGAGCACTCCAACTCCCCGCCAACTTCCGATTCAAGGATGTCGTGGACCGGAAGCTCTGCAATCGCTCGCTTGGAGGCCTCCGGCACTTCGATTTCCATGTCGATGCCATTCATTATGGCCAACACCTGGAGACGCCTGAAATTTCTGTCAAAATCATTCGCTCCTTCCGGTCCGGTGGGTTCGTGGCCCAGTTCCTCAAAGTAGTCCGACATGGCTGCAATTGTCGTAGCATAGAATCGTAGTTGATATCTTGATTGTAATGGCCTCAGATCCTAGATCTTATAAATTATTCTTATCTTCCTTAGGTTTCTAACGACAAAAAAAAAAAATAAAAATTTGGATTTTCTTCAGATATTGAACTAACTTCATAATTTAAAAAAAAACAAATAATTTCTTATTTAAATTAAAATCAAGTTCTTCAATTTAAATTTAAAACCATAAAACTTTTAACTTCAATACCAAACTCAGTATGAAAAAAATAACTGGTACTTACACTTCTCCACAAAATTTAAATAGATCTTAGAACCACACCCGGATTATTTGGAGCCAAATGTGATTTTATTTCAAATTCGATTTCTCGTATACAATTGATAACAGTCAATCTGAGCTAAGACTCCATTCGATTAAGTTTATTACACCAACGTTTTGGCTAAGTATCTAAGAGGTCTTTGCATTTAAAACGCTAGCAAGTAATGTGTTTGTTTTATTTTTGTAGGACTAGAATTACTTGTTGCTGTTAGCCCAGCAATGTTTTTTTAAAAGTCTAAAATTACAGGCATACACTGGCTTCATTTATTTACGTGAGCTTAGGCGAAGATTCCTCCCAGTCGATGGTTTACTGTACTAATCAGAGAAGGATAACTGTACTTATCAAGATTTCTGATCAATTTTAAGCAGAATTATTGTTCTCAATAATTTTACCAAACAGAAAACAAACCAAATTTTTAGGGAATGTGTTCTTAAACGTTTAAAAATAGGTATAAAATAAATAAGAAATTATGTCAAGAATTTAAATCAATTTAATTATGTTTTCCCCAGCTCTAATTCCAAAATCAAATGGCCAATAAAAACACAAAAATTTAATTCCTTTTTCGTTTCATTTTTTGTGATATTTTTTACTTATAATGTTTTAATATTATTCATTGTTTTGAAGTAATTGATTTGCGATTTACTTCAATGTAGTTACAAAATTTTGAATTATAATTTCTACTCTCCTTTTCTCTCTCTGGCCTCACTTAAAGTTTATATCATTTGCGATTTTATCGAAAAACTCATACAGTAGGTATTCAGAGCAGAATGGTGAATTATAATATAAAATAAAAGTAAAACAAAAACGAAACTTATGCACTAGGCTTTACAAATAAGTAGTTTAGATTGCTAGAGAATAAATTAGAGGCGCCTAGCGGGATAGCGATTGATAAATGATATAAAGAGGCAGGACTATATCAGGATCTACTGATTTCAGTGGGCTAATTAAAAACAAGAACTATATATAGATATATATGTGTGGTGTATGTACAGCTACTTAAATAAGAACGAAACGAAAACGAATAAGTACACGATTCTTCAATTACTTTAGCGGGGCGAAGAAAAAAAGGTGGTGGTTGTGGGACAGGAGGCGGGGCACATGGAGTAATTACAATGCGCATAGGATTAATATAATAGGTAAGGCATATATAAAACAATAGGGGCGGGTCGATTTTTCTGGTTGAATAAATAAATCAAAGTTTGGAAAGACAACTTTTAACAGGAAAATAGTTTGAGGCAAATTAAATTGAATTAAAGTTGTATTAAACGCCTATATTTCCATACTGCCAAGTTTAAAATATTTAAAATTTTTAGAATATGATTTATGTATCAAAATGTTTGAGATGTAAGTTTTCATTTTAAAAGGTGTTTGAAAACAATATTATTCCAAAAGCTTAGAATCAAATAAATCTCTTTTTCCCCACCTAAGTTTTGTCAACCAAAATCGACCCATCCTATTAAATATATATATGTGTGTATTGATAGTTTCTCTATATAGTAAACGATCGGCTCGCGTTAAGATCTATCACTAGCATATACAGTTAGTTCTAGTCTAGTGCTAAAAGCAGCAAACAGCAACGGCTCTCCAGTTGGGGAATACAAGTCCCGAACCCTCGTGGCCTTACGTATCATCAGACTGGCTTGGTTTTTATCAGGGATGGTGCATGTGGTGGTGTTTGGGATGCTCTTGTGATGGGTTGGGTTGGCTGTGATCCATGATCCATGGCTGATCACTAGTCCGTGATGGAGATCTGCGCATAGCCCACCAGCGAACGTTCGTCGGGGACTTCGCCTGGCTGCACGCCGGAACTCAATTGGAAAGTAATCGTTTTCATCGTGGCACTGGCAGCTATCAGTTTGTCCAGATGCGAGGCCATCGGCTGGGTGTCCAGGGCATCAACGAGACCGGCATCCACTAGTTCCGTAGCTATGCCCTCGGCCGTATCCTTTCCCACAACGAACTCGAAACGAATGTCGTGAAGTTCGCGACGCAAATTGCGCATGCGCAGGACAAGATTGACGGGAGGTGCCTCGCCGGCGGATTCGCTGGGTAATGGTAATTGAGCCAGGCCAGCTGTCAGCTCTTGGGCGGCAGCTGCTCCAGCTGGAGCGCCAGGTGTTACCGTGGCTGAGGAAACACTATGCGTTATTTCAGGAGACGGTTCTTCCCTGTCGCTGTCCGAGGAGTCGGCTCTCTCCAAGCGATTTATAGGTCTATCCTCGGAGTCTGAGTCCGAAGAGGGGTGTTTTCTTCCACCACCAGATCCCGAACCGGAGACGGAGCCACCATTGTCCTCCTCTTCGCTGGACCAAACCCATTCTCCCGTCACCGTACGATGCAGACGACCCGAAGCTCCTGGCTGTCGTTTCGCCGCCTTGTGAACCCTGGTCTCCATACTGGGTCCGGATTGAAGCAACGTCTGGGTAAGATACTTGCGATCCTTGGCCTTTTTGAAGAAGGCATGCTTCAGTAGCTCACTAGCCGTGGGCCGTTTCGATGGCTCCTTTTGCAAACACTCGACGATCATCTTGCGGAATGTCTTGCCGTAGGCCTTGTACTGATCTTTATCATCCGCACCAGTGTCCAAAGTGGGCGGGTCGTTCTGCAGAGTCAGCATCAGCACCTTCATCGGCGGGTATTTGTGATAGGGCGCCGTGCCCGTGGCCATTTCGATAGCTGTTATCCCAAAGGACCAAATGTCCGCCTTGAAATCGTAGCCATGATCCTGCTCCATCACCTCGGGAGCCATCCAACAGGGGGTTCCCACAAAGGTATGGCGAACCTTTTGCCTGGACAAATCCCTGCCAGTGGCCAGCCAAGCACTCACACCAAAGTCAGCTATCTGGATGGTGCCATCATCACCTATCAGGATATTTCCCGCTTTGATATCTCGATGAATTTGGCCATTGGAGTGGAAATACTCCAATCCCTTGAGGACTTCCTTGAGTACCGTGGCTATGGTGGCTTCATCGAAGACGCCTTGTTTGCAGTTGGACGTTCTCATCTTGTGCTTGATAATGTCCAGCAAGGACCCACCTTCCAGAAGTCTCAGAACCAACCATAGTTCCTCCCTCACCACAAACGAGGTGTGATAGGTTACCACGTTCTCATGAAAACATGAGGACATGGCCTGAATCTCCTTGAGCAGCTCGTCCATCGACGTGTTCCATTTCTCCAGGTTGATGCGCTTGATGGCACATTTCTCGTTCCTTGGAATACAGTACGCGCCATGGACAACGGCTGTGGCACCCACTCCAATGACATCTCTCAGCTCGTAATCATCCTTGGAGTTGGGCCATGGCTGTTTCTCTGGCGGCGCCGCACCTCCTGGTAATGTTGCTGCTCCAGCCACATTATTGCTAGACAGATTGGCGGGTATGGAGGTCATGCTCCTGCTTCCGGTTCCGTTTCCAGCGGTGGTTGTGTGTGGTGGCGGAGTTCCTGGACGTCGTCGGTTGTTTATAGCCGGCTGACTTTGCGATCTTGGGGTATTTCGCGGACGGGGTTGTTTGGATATCGGTAAGGTTTTCTGCGGCTCCTCCTTTTTTATCGGATGAAACTCCTCGTCCTGCTGGCGGTAAACGGATGGATACTCCTTCTCGGTTTCCCTCTGTTCTTCCTGCTCTTTTTGCTGAACTTTATAACTGCCTGAGTTGGAACTGTCTCTGGGTTCTTCTGATTGTTTCTTTTTGGGATTGTGCTGCTGCTCTTCCTTCTTGGCAAAGCAACCGAAGATACCTGTATCCTTCGGATCTCTTTCGTGGGATTCTTTGCTTTGATTCTGGTTGTTGTTGTTGGCGATGTGTGCCACCTCTGCAAGTGGAGAAAAAATCAGAACAGGGTAAAGTAGGGGCCGTGCCTTGATTTATCTTTAAAAAAGCAACTGAACTACAGGAAAGATGATCAACGAGCTGCCAAAAGGAAGAGTCAGGCAGTTTAAGATGGTTTACTGGTTGTGAAAATCAGGAAGAAACAGAAATAAACAGGTGCAAGCTGTGGAAAAGGATAAAAGATGTATCCAAAATACCTAGGATTATAATCTTCCAAAAATTGATAAAGTTTCAATCAAAATAAATTTCATTCGTTTAATGGAGCTTCGATTCGGATAATTTAATAACACTTTTTCTGAGAACGCAAGATTCTAGGTCACAGTTATTAAAACCAGCTTTTTCCTAATAAAATTGGGTCATATCTACAAAGAATAATTTGAAAAAATAACAATAAGCCTAAAAACAGATTACTTTATTGCTGTCGGGGAATTTACCATGACACGTTTTGGCAAAAAAAAAAAACAAAAACAGTTTAACGCTCGACACATGCCGTACTCAGAATATTATTTATTCACACCCGCTCCCTCATCCTGCCGCTTTATGCTAAATTGTTCCACGTTTTTGCTGATAAGCTTTTGTTTTATGAATAAGATCTGGCTTCGGTGTACACGTTTTTTCACGCCACCACTGTTTTGCGATCGTTCAACTTTTTCCGCCCTCGACTGTATAAGTGGAATCTACTCTCTCTTTTACGCTCACTCCATGCAGCATAAAAAAAGTTCAATCGCATGGAATGAATGAAGAGAGAGGGAGAGAGACGAGTGTGCGAGCGGGACCAATGACCGCATTGAGCTATTTATAGCAAAAAAAAAAAACAACAAAAAATGAAAGAGAAGCAACCAAGATAATGTGTGTGGAAATTGTAATTAAGTTTTCAGCTAAAATTTTTACAATTCCGGACTTTACTTTACTCTCTCCCTTTTCTTGATTACATCAAACCAAATTCCGATAAGCTTGCGGTTGGAAACGGTAAAAGAATAACCGCATTTCGATAACTGTGACAGCAGCGATAAAGAAAACGCGATTCCAGTCATTGGACGTGTCATGTGCCACTTAATTAAAACCACTAACTTTTTGGGGCAACAAAATACTTGGCGAATTTCGCAATTTAACACTTGGGCCAAGTTAAATAAAGAATAACGCGCCAGGAAAACAAAAACTAAATGTTTACACAACAAACAAAATGCGAAACGAGAGGGAGACATGAAATCGAATCTAAAAAACGCTTGGCAACAAAAAGGGAAATAAGAAAGCTAATTTAAGCAAAATACACATTTGAAAATGCGCAAAAGAAAGCTAATTTAGGAAAATCTAATACAAATATTTTTTATTCCAAAAAAAAAAAAGCTAAACTTTTTAAAAATAAATTTTAAGGAGAAAGCAATTCGCAATAAATCATTTGAAGCACAAATCAAGGACAATTTTCCTTAAGATTAACACACACAATAAACAAACCTACAACTCTTTTTTTTAACTTAAAATTAGGCCAAATGGATTTATTTTCGCAGACAAATTTCATAATAATAAATCAGTATCAAGAGAGCCGGGGAAAAGTGAGAGAGAAATAGAGCGATCATGTGCAACTGATAAGCGCTGTCACACGACTTTATAAACACACTCGCGCACACAGAAGTTCAATAAATTTTCATTTAAGCTTTATTGATTTCTTGCCAAAGAAATCAAAACAATTTACGCAAAAAAGCTAAAGAATTAATTACACAATGTTGCTGCTCCTTCTTCTTCTTTTTTCTGCTCCACGCACGCGCGCCTCCTTGTGGTTGTTGATTTTTTCCTGTTTCGATTATTCTGTTTCTTCGCCGTTTCGTTTCTTCGCGATCTTTCGTCTGCGAAGCGATCGCTTCAAAGGCCGCGCAACAAATGAGCGCACAAAAGCAGAACAACAAAGGCAACGTCGACGGCAAAGTCAAAACCAAAGCCAAAAGCAGCACAGTCGACGTCGTAACAAGTGCGCCAACGGCTAATAGCAAAAACAACAAGAAAAAAGGACAGAAATGAAAGAACGTTTTAGTCGACAACAAGATACCCCGTTACCACAACTCATGTTTTTTTTTTACATAAGAAATATCGTTAACTAACTTTTTAACTTTTTTGTATTACATTGATTTTATAAGACCCTGTATTTTATTATCGTTTTAATAAATTAAAAGAAATTTATATATCTATTCTTTACAATAGAAAAGGCAGGAAATCATACCGCTTTTGTGTGAATGCAATATACCCTTTGGTTCTACAAGTAAAGAACACCGAAGCTAGAAAAATACAAAAATAAATGTATTGAGCAAATATCAACAGCGAAAAAAGGGGAAAGGGTGGGGTGGGGTCGGTAGTGAGGCGCCGGTTGACTATTGCACGAAGAGAAAGGCAGAGCGAGATAGGGTAAGAACGTCAGAGAGTGATAGAGCGGCTGCTTGCACAGTGGGTGCCATAGATAAATCAAGCTTTCAATATGATAACTAAATTCTAATGAAAGTATTTGCATTTTGAATCAAGTAAAAGATTTCGAAATCTATTCAAAAATTTTTTATTAAATTTTCATACAAAATATTTAGTATATATTTAGTAATATGAATGTTAAACTTAATCAATGTTTAACGATCTGCACCCTCTATATAACATGTTTTTTTTTTAATATTTAGTACATCCAGAGTATATGCAAGGACTAATATCTAGATTTCTGATTACTTCTTCACAAATCTAAGAGTATTATAAAAAATTCAAAAATGTTATGTCCATAAATATAGCTCATTCTGATCCAGTGCCAACTTCACCATTTGTAAGGTTTTCGTTTTGTTTGTCCCCACGTATGTACATATTTCCTTCTCACCCTGTGTACCCGGATTTTATCAGCTCTGACGCGCACGATAAGTTAAAAACATTTCCAGCGGCAATAATAACAACAAGCAAAAACAATTAGCAACAATAAAGACCCAAAGTCCCAAAAAGTAGAGCATAGATACAACAGACGTATGTGTTTTGTATTTTCCATACCGCACCCAGATACAAAAGTGGAATCCAGTATCTCATTCTCTCTTTTTTCCGTTTTGGTATCTCATTGGGTAAGATAACTGGGTTAACATAATGGAAAAGGGGGTTAATTTGTGGGGGGAAGCCCGCACAGTCATCATGGAAAATTCGTAAATTGCATCCACAAAAGCCCATCCATTAAACACGCGTATATTGCAGTCAGACATATAGATACAAATGTATCTTTGTATCTACGGGTTGATTATGGGATCGCCAGGCATTGGCATAGCGTGAAATTCTTTTCTGCTGTGCATAAAAATGCGCCATCGTCGAAGACCGAAGACTTATAAAAATAAGATATTCGTACACACACACTGATTTTTGCGTGGTCTATTTATTTTTAGAACGTCTCCGTCTCGTTTGCTATTTGCATATAATTTCCAATGCAGTTCGGCCGTGGTAAAGTGTCTAGGCGGGTGGAAAAAAGGGGGTTTTTGGGGCTGGTAAAAGCAAAAGGTGATCGTCATCACCGCAGTTTGTATAAATCCAAAAAATTCGAAAAATGGTTATTCAGTTAAATGCATATACAACGATAAATTTGAAATTTGTTATCGGATCTTAATTAAGCCGATGCTGATTTTAAACTAATATTTCTTTGGATAAATAAAATAACAATAATAATAAAAAAGTATTCAGTATTCGATTTTCTTTATAAATGAGAAATTTCCAAAATATTTATTTGGGAAATCCTTTTAGAAGCCGATGATTAACAATTTGGGTAAACTAAAATTAAGAAATTAAAAACCCGATGATTCGCTTGCCTAATTACCTTACAATGCAGTTAAAGTATCTCATTAAGTCAGGTACAAAATTACTTAAGTAAGTCGGTTAAGTTATTCGGTTAACACATTTTTCGTTTACTGCACTCAGCGCTTACAAATATGCGACAGTCTTAATATAGACGAGACAAATAAATTGTAAAAATACTTGTGTGTTTATAAAACCTCGCTGTTGAAATTAATTTAACGACATAATTTCAATATTGACACATTAACGAGTTTCTTGAACTTTAAATTGCAGTTGCAATACCGTTTCGCATTAATTGCCAACACAGTTCTGCAATCGGGCGCTAAGAATGAAATACTCATCGCAAATGACTCGATACTATACTATACTATAGATCCGATGAGTACGACTATGAGTACTGGGCAGTGCCAAGTGCCCAAGTGACTGTTTGTTTAGATTAGATCTTTAATTTGGCCGCTGCTAGCGACTTTTCAGCACGTCAAGTGAAAGACTAATTGATTCCTTGTTTTTAAATTTAGTTGCTGTTTGCGATTTCAAGAATATTTTTTTCCACTGGCATTGATAAATTTACTAGCATAGAGATCTTTTCGTGTTCTGATCTTGGCTGTACGTTCCAAGCGATCAATCAGCGAGTTGTGAATATATTTAAAATATTTTTCACGGTCTTCTTTAGTTAAATAACTAACTAACTAACTAAACTTGATGTATTAGCGGAATATAAAAACAATTATTACACCTATTTTTTTTGCAGACACTTTTTAATTGGTATCATGGTCAAAATATATATTTGACCTTTTTATACCTCTGCAGAGGGTTTTTTAGTTTCAGTCAACTAGTCCTTCAGTGAAGGAGACGTTTCCGAAAACTAGTCCTTGAGTTCTAGAGCTATGTATATGAATGAAACTTTCCAAAAAGTCTTCTGTCAGTCTATTTCTAAGTCGGACCGGGCTGGATCGACTGTATGAGCTCCATTAGGATAATCGGAAAAATAAATGATATACCCCAAGATATAGATATTTCAGAGGTGCAGTGTTAATTTGATTAAAATTGGACGACTTTATCATATATGTAGCTGCTATTTATCGGAAAATCGATAAATCTTTTTTGTTTTTGAGCATTTTGAAAGTCTTGAATAATTTTTTCTTAAACATTATTCCTTTATCTCTTTTAACATTTCCCGTAAATATATAAATCTCTATCTGACATGTTTATATTCTTTCTGTGGCAGTTATTTTAATTTAATAATTTAATTAGCCTGAACCTGTACAGAAATAAATCACAAACAGAGAACAGGGAATTTCCCTGCCCCGAAAACAGTTTTGCAATTAACGTTGGTAAGCCAATAGAGACACAAAAAAACGCATTTAAAATACTCCCTCCTATCTATCAAGCAGGTATCATTTATTTTGTTATTTGCATTAGGTTGTATACATGCATTATTTTTGGATTATAAAATGACAAATGCGGGGCATATGGGAAATAACTTTCAGCGATAACATAAAATTCAAATTAGTATGGTAACCCAATGGGGAATGCGCTTGTGATTTTGTTGAAAAGTTGAGTGTTGTCAATTTAATGCACACAAATCGTAAAAGTGATTTATGATTTTTTTTTTTTTCAAATTTCAACCCACTTTGCTTGAGGCACACTAAATTTAGTAACTGCATTTTAACTGGTTGTCACTTTTTACAAGCTGGGATTTCTTTGCTTTATGGTTTTTGGGTTGAGATTTTAGCTGTAGATTCCTTCACACACGACACTTGAGAATAGACTGAGTTGAGTTATCAACGAAACTGCGATTTGAAATCGATCCGATTGCAGTTCTAAATCGCATTGCTCGCGATCACTGAATGGGCCGCTCCTCCAGCGCGAAAATCACAAATTCGACTGAACTTCACAAATCGTTGTAATCAAACATTTTAAATGAACTTTTTTTTCGTTAAGCAATAAACAACAATAAAAATTAAATGAGCTCTACAAATGGCGGAACACGACGACAGGCAGCAGCAGTGAAGCAATAACAACGATACTATAGAAACGCCGTCGCCGATCGACGAAATAAATGTACGTAATGTGCGAAATTTTGCCGCCTCCATCAACGCGTTGGCGTTAGTTAGTAGTAGTTAGTAGTTCAGTATACGCCTCCATTCCTGTATATGTATCTGTATCATTAGGTATACCTGTGATGTACCCCCGCTGATTTCAGCTTGGATTCACCGGGCTTTATGGCCAAAGCCCAGCTGGTAGGTAATATGCATGAGTGATTGCCCCTGGTTTCAACTTAAAATACCTTTGGCAGGGGATTTTCGTCGAGAATTAGCATAGTCGGTGATACTATTTCCGTTCTAGTTGGTTCTATAAGGTCCCGTCAGTCATAGACATTTGGGAAAAGTTTTCTAGAAAATTTATAGATCACAATATATTTTATATAAATTGGTTTAGATTTAAAAAGGTATTTTAGGAATATATTCTGTCAATCAGATGTTATTATCCTTCAGTTTAAGAAATTTCGTACTCAGGATACACAAACTATAGTTTAAAAATTAATCTCATTAGAATCATAAAGTGTTAAAATAATATATTTTAAAATCTGTCTAATACTTTAAAATCAAGAAAATCAATCAATCGCAGCGCCGTAATTATTTAAATCATTTATAATAAAACAGATTTTCAAGATTTAACATTAATTTCGGTTATTTTTGAGAAATACATTTGAGTAGCTAATAACGCCTATCCCTGGTAAACCTTCATCGACATCTTTCGATCATGTTTACACAGTTTTTAGCAGCACTGTACTTTTTCTTTATTAAAAAGACATGCGCAAGTTTGATGTTATTATTATTTTAGCAATTTGCATAAGGCTGATAGGATGTATATTTTTAAATTCTTGTTTATAGTCAAAGTGCTGTTCTTTCTTTCCTTTTTTTCGGTCACCTATTATTTTTAACAAGGGAATTTGTTGTATCCAAGCCAACAAAAGTTGAAACCCAAAATGTGTGAAATTTGTCAGGCTGTGCAAATCGTAAATGTATCTATATCTGTACGTTGGCTTACTTTTTATGCGCACCGGCAATACAAGTCAAGTGATCGAAAGCCCTCAACCAAAATTTTGATACACAAAGAGCGCAGAAAAAGAAGCCGAAAACCTGGGATTTAATTAGCGCCCAATGTTATACTACACGTGGGTCGGCGACATAAAGGTTGATCGCTTTTGAACCTCATATAGTTTGGCATATATATGTACAACACCCACAAGGCGTTGGTCAATAACTTTTCTAAATATTTCGCTTGCGTGACGTCGGTGACATCAAAATGAGGGAAAACTCATGAATGGTCACAACAACTTGGGGGCCAGCTATAATGAATGAACCAAAACGAAACTAATTCGTATAGTAAAAACTACAGATATATATAAACGCAGACTATAGAATAAAAAGAAATTTATAGCCCAGAATTCTTGCTATGAAATACCGACTACTGAATTAATGCAGGTTTCCTAAATGCTTATAATAATTTTAAATTTCTAGAGTATAGGTACTTTGTTAATGGGTTTTCTTTTGTAATATTTTTTTAATTACGAAATTTACTAGATATCTTTAGGATGTATTATAGATTAATTATATTTTAGATGCTTTAATATTTTGAACTATTTAAAGATATTTGAATAACTCGTGCGCCATAACTAAGAGTTTGTTTTGGGTTTGTTGAGGTCGACATCCTATTTCGGATAAATCTCATGGTATTTGAAAAAACAATATCCCATTATAATCTAAGACTACCTTTTAATTGAAATTCTTAAAAAAATATGCGACGACTACTAATTGACGTGGGGCTCGTGAAACTTTATACATTTGTATAAACAAATGTGTACATATTTCTTAAAAAAATGCAAAAAATTTGCCATGTGCCATCTCCCATCAGCTAAATCAATGCTCACATGTTCAGTTCAATTTGCTGGTCAACATCTCATGTGATCTCGCTCTCTCGGTCGATTTCTCAAGGCAAGGACGTTTGGGACTTTTGCACTCGCAAACTTTTTTTGCACAAAAAATTAAAAAACATAGCAGTAAATAAATCAATATTCTTGGACGCAAAATGTTTGGCCCAGTTCAAGGGTATTTTAGTTCAATGAGTTTAAAAAAATGCGCAAATTGCAGGAAGTAAACGTTTTGGGAAGATATGTGACATAAATAATAATGGAATAATAAAACTAAATAAACTGTATTAATTGCAGTTTCTTATTATTCTTAGAGAAGCAATGTTTCTTAAATTAAAAGGCTTAACTAAAAACTATTGAACATATTTATTGATTCAATCGTTATTGAATTTTGAAAACAGATTTTTTAAACATAAGAAACATGTGTTGTTATATTTTCATTATTCTTTGTTAAATTTAACTGTCTTATTTTAAATCAATCAACAAATTAAGTCTATATGCTGAATGGTTGTAATTCAAATTTCTTAGTTTCATATTAAATGGAGTCTCAGGTTATTAAATCAATAAATGTAGTTAATTGATAATTATTAGTTCAATAAAAACTGATTGAACTTTCAGAAATCAATCATTTTATTTTATTTTGAACCAAAATAGTCGCTGGTTAAGAATAAAATTGTATTGTTCAAAATATGTCACAGGTTTTAAGACACATATGAGTATGAAGCTCTCACATACTGTGGATTTTTTTATACAATACAGGTTAACCTTGCCACAAGACACACAGTCGAGAGATTTAATCGTGTCCCCTCAATATGCAAAATAAAAAAAAGAAAGAAATCGTTAAGCCGAGACGGCGAGATGACAATGCCTAAAAATAGCAATCGCAATTGAAATGTCGTTCCATATTAAGCCAGAGCCCAGTTATATTTTCATTCTTTCTCTTGTTATTGTGGCTAAATTTAAATCGCTGAACGTCACGTTGAGTGGGTAGGAAATGTTGCACAGATCGTTCTATATGTACTATATAGTACGTTGGGGGAAGCTCTGTCGATCCCTCAGTGCAGAAATCGTAAATTACAGGCGATCACACAACGACGCAAGTTCAAAGTCAAAATAGCAATTGAACAAGCGGCAGAGAAACAAGTCTGCCTGTCAGTCAGTTCAGCATGATGATCATCATGTTGCCGTTGATCGTACAAGATCATTATGCCAATTTGTTGTTGTTTTTCCGCTCGACCGAGCATGCAAACAAATTAAGACTGAGGGCGCCGTGCCCCGACCAGCGAAATTTAATTAGCATTGCCTCACTGTACTTGTTTTCACTGCAAAGAAAACTACGAAATATACTCAAGGCTTTAAACTCAAATATTGAAATAAGATTGTGTACCTATTTCTATCAGTTATCATATCCCTAAGCTCTAAACTTTAAGATGCTTCATATGAATAGACGCGGGAACTTTTCTCTCAGTGTCTCTTTTTTGCGAGTCAAACGCTTTTGCATGCCCTCCCACACATTTCCGCGTGCTAGCAGTGAGGCAAATTGAGCGATTAGCGCCGAACAGAACGTGACCCACCGGATAGGTTCCCCACCCCCTCAACAGACCCACTGTACCTTCTACCTATCTCAATTCAATTTCGATTTTAGATCACCATTTAGATTTGAGTTTCGTCGAATGCAATTCGGTTTAATGCGTTTCGTCTGCCCCACGAGCAATACTTCCATAAAAGCGTGCTTTCCTAATGATTTTATTATAGTTTCCCAAACCTGATGACTAATTATTGTAAAAGTACATTTTGCTATAAAGAAACACGATTAGGGTTTTTTTTTAATCCTTAAGTGTCACTTCCAAAATATAAATCACTAAGCCACAAAAAAATTTTTTCAAAAACAAACTTACATTTCTTTCAACTGATCCATACAAATCTATTCATTAAAATGTGAGGAAGCCAGTTATGCTTGCAATTTTAGACTAAATCTACCGCTCTATTTGTGTTAAATTTTAACGCATACCTTTTACTTACCAGATCGTCTTTTAAAATCTGTAAAAATAGTAAAGATTGACGATTAAAAAACTGTCGTTAATATTGCATTTAAATAAATGGTAACAATAAATTGTGATAAATTATACATGATAATCAAAATAAAAAAAGTAAATTATTTAATCTGAATGTAGTTATCGCCTGCAATCATGAAATTTAAATGAAAATCTCTATCAATATTCACCGTGTAAAGCGAACCAAAATATTATTTAAGAGCAGCGAATAAATAATAAATAATTAGAGCACATAAATTTTGATTTGTAAATGTGCGAATAATTTATTATACCTTTTCCCTGGCACTTTTCCGTTGGCGGGGCATGGAAGCAACTAAAAATAAATGAGTCTCGAATGTGGCCACAAAACTTATCTTCATGCCAATAAATATAAACTTATCCCGCATGCAAATAAATTATGAGCAGCCGATGGCCACCGGCACAGCATCGAGATGCCACCAATTTTCTGTGCCGAACGTGGCCATAATACCTAAACGATACAGGGGGGATTTTTTAGCAGTGGAGAAGGGGGTGCATGTGAAGCACCTGTTGCAGCCAATTAGGCATTCAAAAATAATAAAATGAGAAATTATATCAGGACATATCAAGCTGCAGCCCAAATAAAAAGCAATGGGATCGCCGCCAAAATGTATAGTAATTAATAATGCAAATCCATCTTAGACTTTGTGATTTTCTAAGAACTTGCTTTTTTTAAGACCAGCACTGCAAATTGAAACCATTGATATGTGCTAAATTCGAATTTATTGACGTCTTTGGCAGATATTGGTGACGTCGTTTCTGAATTTTACGTAATTTCTAATTAAATATTGACTTTGTCAATGATTTGGCGGTTTATCTTGTTGTTTATCTGTATTATCAAATAATTTTCAAATCAAACAGAAAAGGGTCAAGAGAAATACAAATTTTTAACTCATTTTTTTTAAACACAGCAGAAATCAATAATCAGAACTAATCTATTTATTAATAAAATAAGGCCATATACGGAGAACAAAATAATCTTTAAATAATAATAATAAGAATAATTACAAGAAGTAAATGGAAAAGATAGAAAAAAATGAAAATTATAAGAGACAGATATATTACCAAACCATTAATCAAAACACAGAGCTAAATTCATCAGAAACTGAGATATTGCTTGTGTATAGACAAAACAGCTGCAGTCTTTAATAACTTGCCATAAATTATAAACAAAGGTTATGCTGCGTATTTCACAATCTACAAAAACAATAATGAAAAAAATATGTCGAGCACGAATAGACAAAAACAGACGGCACGTGCTGTAAAACCCATTAAAAACATTTTCCGGCCGCATAAAACAAGAGCAAATAGAAAATTGTGAGCGTATTAAATACGAAATCTTTGTGGACAACAAAATGACATGCAAGACAAACAAATTGCGCTTAAATTTATGGCAGATGCTTAGTTCTCAAAAGTCCCCTCAGCCAACAAACGCACGAATATTAAATGTATTCAATGCAAAAAACTATGCAAAAATATTGTCGTGTTTTAGGAAAATATTTTCAAAGGTGCTGAAGTAACTACTATTAAAGATAAAAGTAAAATATAACAAACAGTAAAGATCTTGAAAAAATATTTTTAACGTCAAAAACTAACTTTCTCAATATTTATAGAAATTGAAACTTTACTAAAATGCTTTGATCTACATTATAGTTTTGATAAATTTAATTCATTGTATCGATTTTCACTGTGAACACTCAGTGACTATATTGGGATTAATCTAATCGATTTGATTGCTTACACACACTAATTTACAACATATATAGCCCCTTCAACTAATCGTACTTCAAGTGACTATATTTAGTATCGACCTAACCCCAAAAAGGGTATTTCTCGAAATGTAACAAAAAAAAAAGCAGTCGCAACCATTTAAAAATACTAAATATAATTAAATAATTAAAATATAATTAACAATTTACAAGAAAAATTCAAATATATTTAAATCAGAGGGTTTCCAGAAATTGTTTTAAACAAATCTGATTAATATTTTTAAGGGGCGACATACATAAGTAAATATATAGAAAATGAACAAGAAATCAATCTTTCTATCTCCAAGAATTGTTGAATTGTGAGTTAATTTATTTCGAGTATACATCAATTTTACAATTGGTGCAAGTGTGATTCGAGTGAATAACAATTAGAAAGGGCGACAATTGCACGTGGTTGGCACGATGTCACATGGGCAAATGGGCAATAGAGAACTTATCTAAGCAATCATCGATGATGGGTCAGCAGCATCATATGGCACCGAGCATAAATTGCTGACACGGGATGCAACTAATTAGAAACGCAAATTGGCGATTGGCAATTGCCACTTAAGCGGCCAACAGGTGTAAATAGCACGATTATGGCATTGTGTTTATGCGCCTTAAGACCCAGTTGATCAATCGAATTAGCAGCGGTTTCCAAATCCCATTATTATCAGTTTTTTATTTGCTGCAGCCACGCGACTCAGGCATGCGGCTAACATGTGAAATTCTTCAACTGTGAGACAAAAGATATTTTTGGCCGTGGACCGAATGTAAAATTCGATTTTAAAACCCAATACTCCCTTCGAAACGAAAGTAACTTACTTTTTAACTATTACAAATATTTGTATTATAATTAAATAATTATTGTAAAGAAATTTGAAAGACTTTTAATCAAATACTAATATACAATATTGAATGTAAAGTAAACCTTATAAGATTCAAATGTTTAATTATTTTTTTTTAGTTTTTATTTCAAGCATATGTGATATTTAATTTGAAATTAATAATTTCTAAATAAAGAATTACAGAGAGAAAGAGCTGTAAGTGCTGATTGATGTGGCAATTTGTTCTTAAATCCCGATTAGCTATTTCACAATAATATTGTTAAGTTTTCATGGTTCTAGCAGTTTGTTTTCGTTAACTTGTGCAATCATCATCTGGCAATTAACGTATTGACGCAAAGAGTTAAAGATATTTGCATACATTACAAAGCATTTACTATATTGTAAATCGTTGTTGTTTTAATATTTACTATCTAATTAAATTTAAAAAATTTAGAAAATTAAAAAAAGAGTTTTTAACGGATATTAGTACTTTCAAATTATTTTCAGAATAATTAGGGAACTAAAGATCAGTTTTTGCAAGCATAATAATCTTTTAAGCTCAAAACAAACTTCCGCATGCGTGCCAAATTGAATTTACCCCTTAACTGAAATTATGGTTAACCTTCAGGAATCAGTGTGTGAGAATTAACCTCAGTGATGTGTACCGACAAAAACTAGTTACAATAACAGCCGGCGGCAATAAAAGATGATAACACGCTAAATGAATGCATATTGCATAATCTTTCGCTATCTGTCCGTCCCTTTCTCTGGATGCAATTGAAAATGCAAATTGCGCGGGAATTTGAAAGAACAGCTGCTGCACCCACAACTGCGAAAATTTCCGAGTGAAATGGGAAAGCAGAAAAAAATAATCGCCACTAATTGAGGACCCGTCCATTTGAAGTTCGTATCAATTAAGAGAAATGCAAGCAATTCAATCAAGTCCAAAACGCAGCGTAATAATATTGGTGGACTCGAGTGTACGTTCTACGCGTGTGTTCCAATTCCTGGCGTAAGTACATCCGCGGTCGTTATGATACAACTGAATATTGCTTCAAAAAAGAGTAAATATTTGTAATATTTAAGCTTAAAACACAAAATAATTATTTGTTATTATATATTCGAAATAAAACATTTTTTACATTAAAAATTCACATTACATAAAATTATTTTAAAAACCACTTTAAATATGTAGAAATACATTAAAAATCGACATTTGTTTTACTTTGAAGTAAAAGATAATGTGTTTTACCAGCACTATTAAGTTGACCGCTGGTGTATATGACACGCATAACCTCACACAACTACAAGCGCATTTACTGAGTCACCCTCGCCTTCGCTCTTTTCACCATTTCTCTCCCATTCTCTCGCTCTTTGGCACAGATGACAACAAGCCGGTATTTTCATACATATTTCCGCAACGAATGAAATGTTAAAAGCAGAAGGCCAAAAACCAACGAAAACACAAAATATCGCACACAAAAAACCAGAATAAGAAGCGGTAGTTTGTTAGAACCAGTTACAAAAAAAAATCAAAGAAATATGGCTTGGGGGTGGGGTGAGAAGAGAGAGAGACAACCAACCTGTTTTCCTTCTGCAAAATCGATGAAAAGCCAATCCCCGAAAAAGCAATTTCACACGGGAACTTATCTTGCACCGATTTCGAATTATTCACTAATTGATTTTCCGATTTTCTCGCCTCCTCTCTTTCTCTATGCCACTTTTAATTGTTTCGAAAAAATTCCACTGCTCTCTCAGCGTGACGAAACGTTTTTTCGATGTTGTGTTGCTTTTGCTTTTGGCTGCTTTGCTGGCAATATACCGATTCACTGGAATATATTCCCTATCTGGATTATATTATATTAATATATTTTTGACTGATTTTGGTTCCTTCCAGCAAAACGAAGCGTTTCGACGGCACGAAATAAATATACAACAACAATTCAGCTGCCGCACGTTTCGTTCTCGTTTCGTTTCTTTTTGTTTACATCTGTATCCAAAAAGCTTGGCTGTCAGAGCTCTGTTAACCTGGTATGCTGTTAAGCATGGCGCGGGATTTAAATTTGTGAACTGTGGGCATTTTTTCAGCCCGTTTATTTTATTTTTTTAAGTTTATATTAAAATCTAGATTTACTATTTGAGAATATGCTTTTTTTTTAAGAACTCCACCCGAACAGTAATTTATCCCAGGTTGATTTAAAATAAGAAAGAGGTTAAAAAATGATTAAACTTATCCATAAATAAAAATGTATTGTACACAGTTTGGCATTTTTGGAATGGTTTGGTTTTTGTCTTATTAATAATACATTCTTTAAATACTCACTTTCAATGTTCTTCTTAAAAATTACACCTATAATTTTAACATTAAGCCTTGTATTTAAATTCTTTAAGACTATTTTTTTTACATTACACAGTTTTCCAAGAAAAGATATCTATAGAATACCTCTAAAATCAAAAAATTATTATTATTAAATAATAATAATAAAGGCACAGAAATTATTGTTAAATTATGTCAAAATCTCTGAGTAATTTTAGAAATTAAAACTGAAGATTAAGGTTGGCGTTAGTATTTAAACTTCTAAAAATAGTTTTTGAATATATGTTACATGGGAATTAATATCATCTGAACTAGAAAGCTTTGCCGAACCACCCTGCTCGCTCGTCATTGAAAGCGTTTTAAAACGGTAAGCTTGAGTGCTGTAAGTGCCCAGCAGAATGTTAAGGTACTGTTACACCACCACCCAAACCCTCATTCGCTATGTAAGCCGGGGAATGGGTCTGGGTCAAGGTCACAGGGGCCGGTACACGCCCTTGAGAAGGCCGAACAGCTCCCGAACAGAGATTTATGTACCCCAGATTATTACATACAAAACGGCTTATGGCATAACAGCTGAGAAACTTAAAGTTGACGAAAAATCGACGAAATCCAGCTAATCATAATCTCTGTCTATCTGAAGGGGATAGCGCGCTGGGGTCTTCGGCAAATGACCAAAATCCAATCAGTCAACGCTTTGCGTCGTCTCTGACAAAAACCAATCAACTAAGTGTCCAAGCGCCACAAATTAGCATAAGAAAGAAAGTCCGGCCGAGACTGCAGGGATAATTTCAACGGAGAAAAGGAAGAAGTATGGGTTTTGGTCGAATGACCACTGTTCTTGTGCCATGAAAACCGTTTAGTTCGTAATGAAATTTTACAACCGAAGGGCGCTCGTAAAAAGGAGAATGGATGTTTAGTTGTCGGTGATTACACTATCAGAAAATATACAAAAGACTTAATAATAACACAACTTTTAAACCTTTTTTAGCTAAAAGGAAAACAAACCAATTCTGGCGAGTTCAATTTTTTAAAAGATATGGGTACTATAAGGATACATTTATTTTAGCTACGTAAAAATTATATTAATCACCTATAGTCAAGTTATACGTGTTTACATATATGACTTACTAAACATCAGCATAATAAAATTACCCAAAAATAATTTAGATTTTAAATAAAAATGCATTTAATTTTTAAAATCTCAGAAAAATCTATATACAATTTTATAAAAAGAAATACAAATAAACAATAAATGGTAAGGACATAAAATATATACTATAAGAGTAACCTAATATATATTTTATGTCCTTACTGTAAGAGTTGGTAACCTTATATATATTTTATGTCCTTACCATTTATTGTTTATTTAAACATTTCATAACTTAAAAAAAAGTAGAATCCTAGTTGCTTAAAGATATTATTCAAAAGTTGTGCAAACATTTTCTTAAGTGCACGTTCTTCAGTTTCCCTTCCAGGTTCTATTTCACCGCAACCCCAGTAGGCAGACCAATCCCTCCGCCCTCCTATAACTCGTAGATCCCCATCTCCATCTCCATCGCCATCTCCATCCACTTTCCACACGGCACTTGTCTGGCAAGTTTGACTTAAGTGCAGTTTTAACGCTGCTTTGTCCGTTTGGCAAGGGGCACGGACTAGGGACACGGCTGTGGATACGAGTAGGGATACGGAAATGGGTACTAGAGTAGGAGGATATGGGGAAATGGGGATACGGGGATACGGCTACGGATCTGTTTACCTGCTCTGTAAGCACTGCGAACGTGTTAACTGCAGGTGTTTGGCATTTGAGTTACGTGCGCACGCAACAAATGTGGAAAGTATTTGCAGAGGAATGGGGCCTTTGGGGGGTATTTTGGGTTCGGCTTGTGGGCCGAGGGATAAGTCGACACTGCAACGCATATAATTAATTGTGATCTGCCGCATGCAGTACATTCATCCCCAAGTCGGTTTCCATCATAACAGGCAATTACAACAATGAGGGGCTAAATGATTGGGATGGAAACTGCCCACATAATGGGTCAGTCAGGTTATATATAATATAATACATATATACAATACATGAAAAGAATGTTACTTTTCAACAATTTCTTTGGAAAAAAGAAACTACCTAATTTAAGAAAATTCTTTCTTGATTTTCTTGCTTTTAAGTTTCTGGGAGTATACGAAAAAGATTCAAAGGTTCGTTAATTTCCTCATCAAAAAAATTGTGGTTCTTAAAAGCGTATAACAAACGTTGATTAAAAATAAACCATTAAATTTATTAGAAGAAAACATAGATTTAAATAAAAATAAAATACATTATTTGTTAATAGTCTTACTATTGACGGATACGTAATTTGAACATAGATATCTGGATGTGCAGTAAATAAAGCGAGTTCGCGTCTAGCAACTAGTTAAACTACTATCATAGGAAAACATTTTTGCATGGTTTTTGATTCAACTCAGGGCCTCTTTCCCAAACCATCGGACATTAATTAGGATTCATTGCCCCTCATCAGGAGTTGTACTAGGAAAAGTCCACCGTTTTTCGGACCCCAGTTGCTGGACCCCAGCCAATGGCCCGGAATTGAGGAGCGCTCATCCACATCATCCACAAGACAAGCCCTTCAGTGGCAAGTGGCGAGTGGCAAGTGGCATGTGGCTCCCACTTCTGGCGCTTGGCCAAGTGTCATCCGCCGGACAGGGAAACACCAATTAAGGCGCAGGTATCATTGTTGTGCGACAATTAAAACCGAGGGGAATGGGGGCAGTGCAGAGATGGATTTGACCAGCAAACAAACCGACTAAGAGACAGTTGGGGGTGGGGGGTCTTCGCTTGTGGAACGTGCCGCTGCAACGCGGGGAATCATAATGCAACCGGTGATGCACTGGGACCATTGGGATCAGTGTTGCACAACTGAAGTTAACGAAGGTTGAACCAAGTCCCAAAAATGTCTAGAAATAAATGAATTATTCGTTGTATGCACCTGAATTCTTATCTTTATGATTTAAATGAATTTTTAAGATTTTATTGAAGTTCAAATTAGTTTAAAAGTTGTAATAACTCTTTAAACATTTATTTTTAATAACATTTAAATGATAATCATATAGAGATAAAGACCAAACATTTTTAATGCAGAACATTTGAACTGAACATGTCAGATTTGATTAATCTGTTTTTAAATTTTACGATTTCAGGTTTACATAGGGAGTAAGTCCCAACACTGATGGAGATAAAAGATACGATTGCATCGGCCCTGGACCCTACTAAATGCAATCAGTTTGAGTGCTTTGATATATTGCCCAATGCCGCAAATGAAAGCGTGACTCGCACTTGGAAGGAAGCTGCGACTCTACGATGGTGCCATGTGCCACTTGAATTCGCCTCATTTGGCAGCCGCACACGTCGCCGCACCACCCCACTTCACCCGATCCTCAGGAGGAATTTAATTTCAAGACGAGGCAAGTTAAGAAATAACCCAACAAATGTCATCAGCATCAGCGTACACAAAAACAAAATATTTGACCCAACAAAAATCATTTAAACATTATAATATAATAAATAAAGAAAGAAGTGTAAATGACATTTTCATTTTTAAATTAGCAGGTGGCCAAACTACTTAAACGTAAAATAGCTTGCATTTCCTGATTACCAATGAAGGTAGAAATCTGAGAACTTAAGGTACGGCACATAATTAAGGAATACTGTTTTTTTTGGGTGCAAGTAAACCCTACCAGTCCGAAAAGGACTTGGAGTTGGCCAACACCTGAGGTGCACTTATGGCTATAGCCTCATTGGCATTGAAATAGTGGCAGTGGCATTAGCATTCCTTACAGCCAACCAGCCGGCAGATAACAAAAACATGCACAACAATTGCCTCGAGACGGGAATGATGATGCCGATTCCAAAATGTCGATGGGTGGGTGGGTCTATGAGTCTACCTATAAGGTGGTAAGATTCCACCCCGACCCCCCCGCCGACACATGGCAGCTTGTTTGCGTCGTCGTGGATGGATTCAGCGATTTTATGGCAGGCACTTGCCGCCTGAATGTGCGGATATGCGGATATGCGGATGTTCCGATGTGTGTGCCGGCAAATAAACACATTTTCAAGCTCAATGCCATTCGGGCCAAAGGCGAAAGGCAGCAGAAGGAGCAACAATACAGAGCGCCGAGAACAAAGCCAAACAGAAAACAGCAACAGAAGCCGGCACAGAAATAGAAATGGAAAAGAACTGGCCGACTCTACGTAAACGGAGGAGGATGAGTGCACCAGCTACTCCTGTTCATGCACAGAGAGAAAACATTAGTTGTTCAAAAATATATTTTATTTTGTCTACCATGTGTTATTTTGATTACACCAGC